CACATCGAGTTTGCAAACATCAGTAGGAATGTACACAGTAATAAAAGACACAAAGCCAAAAGCATGCTTCAGTTTCAGTGCCATAATACATTTATCAAATGGTGTTACCTCAATAACCGAGGGTTGAAGTTGGCTGGAGATGGCTATGGCTACTCCTTGGAGGTGATGACCATCAACACGGCCTGATCAGTAGCAGGTGTACCCACCCATACTGATTGTACCGCTGCCAGGGGAGAGGGCAGCCACCTCAACTCCCAACCGTTTCAGTTTTCTCGATAGCAGAGGTAACCGATCACCCTGCCGCAAGGAACTACCCAGGGCGTTCCAGGTGGATGCCACCTCTGCCACCCCTGCTGACGCTGCCCCAAATAAAGGAGTTAGCAGGCTGTTAGACCCAACGTCTGCCTGTGGGGTTTTCTTGGCTTTGCCCCACAGACCTCATACTGGGTTGGCGCCTGCCAGGGTGCAGGTGGGACGAGTAACATCACCCTGAACATGAAGCACCCACCTCTAATGTTTGAGGACAATGCATGAAATATGTGTAAGGTCAGTTTCCCAGTATTTCGAATTCTCATGCGATTATGCAGTACAAGAATTTTTGCATTGTGAGAGAAGTTGTACAGTTGAATGTTGACAAACTGCACTGCAGCGGTCATGAGAAGTGTACAGATGCTGGGTTCCATACTTGTTCACTTCATTCACTGTATGAATGTTTGGAATAAGGATGTTTGTAACAACCTATCAGGCTTTTTACTGCGTGGATGGCACAAATTCCAAATATATAAAATCTCGTTGCAATGCAATTGGAAATTTATTACTGGATAAGAATTGCAAAGGAGTTACATGAAGCTGAATCTGGTCTTTCTGAGGTATGTGTGTATCCCCTTATTATTCTAGTTAATCTGCATTTATGTTTTAGCTCTGTGATAAAAGAATATGTACCAGCAATTATCTTCTATGTATAAAGGCCAAAGCTTCCTCTGCCTTGCAGCCACAGCCAACTCAGTCAGCAGCAAAATCAATGACCTTCCTTCATATCATCAGCGGAAGGACTTGGGGATAAGCACTTCCGTGAACGTACTGCAACGAAATCATTGCTATTTCGTTGACGATGAATGTTTATGCATGATCATAAAACTAGTAGTTAATGAGTGATAATGCTGAAGACATAGGGTTAAGCGTGGAAATGTCCGTCACCTTTCCTCATACAGCAAGAAAAAACGGAATTTCATGAATCCTCTTACTGCTCGCTCGTGGCTCGTAAAAACTAACACTCCCCATGTGGAAAATATACATGTATATACTTATATATACACATACACACACACACACACACACACACACACACACACACACACATATATATATATATATATATATATATATATATATATATATATATATATATATATATATATATATATATATGTATATGTATATACAAATATATGTGTATATATATATCTATATCTATCTATCTATCTATCTATCTATCTATCTATATCTATATCTATATATCTATATCTATATATATATATATATATATATATATATATATAGATATATAGATATATATATAGATAGATAGATATATATATGTATGTATGTATATATATATATATATATATAAACTTATGTATGTATGTCTGTTTACCTATCTATTTATCTAACTATCCATCTATCTGTCGATGTGTAGACACACACAACACACACACACACACACACACACACACACACACACACACACACACACACACACACACACACACACACACACACACACACACACACACACACATAAATAGAGAGAGAGGTGGGAGTGACTATTATCACTGCTCAGTGATATTACAGACGGCGTTATCATTACAGCACGGAAATATTGCTGGTGATGTTTTTATAACCTTACGGGTATAGCTTACATGTTTTGAAGGTAGTAAAGTGGGATTAGGCTCAACGAGAGAAAATTGCCTTCAGATGGCAAACGCAGGTGTCGTAGGGGAAGTTGTAGTGACAAGCAAAGCTTAATCATAGTGTCAGACGTCGACGCTTATATCATTTGCTTGTATCATTCATGTTCTCTTGTGACTTGTACCGAGATGTGCTGAAGGACCGGGCCGGGCGGTAAGCACTGTCAGAAGCATGGTGTGTTTGGGACAAATATTGTCCGTGAAATCTGAATACTATGAAATGACGAAAATATAGCAAATCCTTCATATACTGCTGGTATACACATCACTTATCTTACACACAAGTTCTGCCTTGAATCCTCCGACCGTCACCGAAAACAATAATAATCAAAAATAAAGATAAGGCTCGACAACGGCCTCTCTCAATGCCTGCAGCAAGAGCTACCCGAAGGAAGCAGTTTTCCATGAAGGATCTCTGGCTTACTGCTAGAATACTCCTGCTTGAGGGTATTCTAGTGGATTGGGAGAGAGAGAGTACCTGTATCCTGGGCTGTGCGAGAGTGATTACCTCGTTTATCTCTCATACCTTCGTCAGTGTCTTAGAGGCGGGAACAAGCACTTAAATGCTTGGAGTTCTGGAGGCCCTTTAGATATAATAAAATGTAAAATTAAAATTCAGAGCATTAATATGAAGGTGTGAAAGAGAAACAAAACATATTCATATTATTAATAAAAAAAGTCGTTGAAATATCCACGGTGATTCCCCAGGGTGGTCCCTGGTGGTCACAGGTGGTGATTCCAGGCGTCCAGCCCTGCCACGAATAGCTTGGCACACCCTTGATGACAGTTGTTTTTTCTTATAGTTCACCACAAAGTCGCCGTCGCGGCAGAAATGATAGTCCGCTGAACCAGTTAATTAGGGCATCTAATCAGGCAATGGTGGCACTGACAAATAACCTCTCAATAATGCCTTTAAAGAGGCCGAAAGAATGGTGTTAAACACACACACATACGCATATATATTTGTGTGTGTGTGTGTATAAAGAAAGACATTCGGTGTTTATTTGTAAGACTTGTTATATTTCCTCATCTCCTCAGGCTGTGCTAAAGACCAGATTTCCGAGGTGGCCAACGGACACATCAAGTGTACGCTCAGGTAAGTCTGGTCGCAGAGAGCATCGGCCTTATGAAAGTTGTCATTCTAAAAACGTGCTTGGCGGAAAATGTTTTTTTATAGTATTCATAACTGAAAACACCTACCGTCCATAATTACATCACATTACTAGAACACACATACCAAAAAACAAAGATATTTTCATAGTCAATTGTCATTGTTATCGTTTGTAATTGCCATTTTATAGGATAAGAAGTCTTTCAACTACATTCTAGATAATGTTAATTTTCGCTATTACCTTCTTGAGACTTGTTTTCTCTTTTTGTTTTTACCCCCCCCTAACGCCGACGGCGACATCCACCCTTTGCTTCAATCCACGGGGGTACCTCAAGGCGAGCCTCCAGACAGGCCCTTGTCCCTTCTCTAGCTCCTTGCGACAGGTCTGGTAAAGCTACCCAAGCCTAGGTCGTCCCAAGGGCCTCTTCCACCCAGGGTTGTCTTGCAGTTAGGTTCCCATATACCCTGAGTTGGTGATCCAGGATTATGCAAGTAACAGGTCCCATATTGGTCGCACAGTGTAGCCGTCGGTTGGACACATGGTCCTGCCTATTGTACCTCATGATCCAGCATAGGGACTTGTCACAAAATGCATCAAAATGAGACTCCAAGGTATTGATAACATCCAGGTTTCGCTTCCATGGAGCAAATCTGCCAGTATCAAGGCCTTGAAGAGATATTGCTTGGTCTACTGGCTTCTTGGTCTGATAGCCCAACGACATGGACTATGCTACCAAGGTATGTAAAGCTCTCTGGGACTTCAACATCCTCATCACAAGCATATATCGACTGAACAGGTTCCCCTAACAGGGCCCCAAAATCCTGGATCTTGGTCTTGGTCCAGGAGTCTGCTAGGCCCAAGGGCTTCACCTCATTGCTGAATACACCAAGAGCTGCCACCAGTGATTCCAAAAACTCATATAGGATAGCAACATCGTTGGCAAAGTTGAGTTCGGTGACCTTGATATTACCTTGTGATGCTCCAGATTAACTGTGGATGTTAGCTCTGTTCATTATCCAGTTCATGCAAGTGTTGACAAGTGTTGGTGCAAGGACACAGCCTTGCCTCACCATTGAAGTTTGAAAGGCCTCCACCACACTTTACAAAACTTTCAGTACCAGTATATAGGCTTCCTATTAAACCAATAATCCTTGTTGAAATTCCCAGGAAGAAAGTCTCGGGATCTCACATAGCAAGTCTTGAGGTCAATGTAAGCTGCAATCAGCCCACCAAACTCATGGTGGAATTCCACAGTGACTCAAAGCACTAGGATGTGGTCTACTATGAACTTACCAGGAGTGAATCCAGACTGTCTTTGGTACCTTAGTAGGTGGTCACATATCCGTTTCAGAAGAAAGTTGTTGAAAACCTTACCTGGTATACTGAGTAGTATGATGCCACAGTAACTGTTATAGTCCCATTGATCCCGAAGGCCATTTACTCAGAAATGGCCTTGAACCTCATCAGCAAGATTCCTGATGAACTGTTCCTTGTCCCTTCTCAGCAGTGTTCAAGCCCTGCACACCAAGTAGCAATGCAAATCCTGATTACCATTCAGTTTAGCCATGCAACATGCATCTGTGGCCTCCAGTGTCTCCAGTGAGACGGAATTAAGCCTTGCCCCCAGGAGTTTGCCAATGGACTCCTGCACTGTATTGAGTGTTTTGGGCTTAAAGGAAACCCACAGAGCTACTGGGTCTGTCAGGTTTTTGAGTCCTGTGAACCAGACAGAGACTCGTGGTGAACTCACTCCTCCTCCCTCATTCTGTCCAAGTGAAACACCCTGGAATGACCACTGGAGAGATGAGCTTTGAAGTGAACCCTTAGGGTAGCCACAACCAGTCTATGGTCGGTGTAAACCCTGCAGTTCTGGATGATCCTCCAATGAATGTTGACAAGACTGTAGTTGATCTTCTTGGCCATGGTGTCCGAATCGCTGTACCATGTCCAGCGATGCGGGTTAGAGCACCAGGAGCCAGAAATCTTCAATCAAAGCCCTGAAGAAGGAGGATATTCTTGCTACTACACAGGAATAAGAGACACGAAGCCAAAAGCATGCTTCAAACCAGTAATAGTAATAATGATGATAATAATAATAATGATAATAATCCAGATAATATTAATAATAGTGATAACAATAATGATAATAATGATGATGATAATGATAACAATAATGATGGTAATAATGATAATGATAGTAGTAGTAGTAGTAGCAGTTATAATGATAATGATGGTGATAATAATAATGGTAACAGTAATAATTATAATAATAATAATGATAATGGTGATAAAAATTATGATGATAATGTTAATAATAATAACAATAACAAATAATGATAACAGTGATGAATATAATGATGATAGTGATAATAGTAATAACATAATGATGAAAATAGTAATAATGACAGACACAACAATAATAGTAACAATGATGATAATGATAATAATAATGATAATAATCCAGATAATATTAATAATAGTGATATAATAATAATACTAATAACAATAATGATAATATTCATAATGATAATGATGATAATAATAATGATGATAGTAATAATGATGATAATAATAATGATAATAACAATAATAATAGTTTTAATGATAATAATTTTAATAATGATAATAATAATAATAATAATAATAATAATGATAATGGTGATAAAAATAATGATGATAATATTAATAATAATAACAATAACAAATAATGATAACAGTGATGAAGATAATGATGATAGTGATAATAGTAATAACATAATGATGAAAATAGTAATAATGACAGACACAACAGTAATAGTAACAATGATGATAATAATAATAATAATGATAATAATCCAGATAATATTAAAAATAGTGATATAATAATAATAATAATGACAATAATGATAGTAATATTTATAATGATAATGATGACAATAATAATGATGATAGTAATAATGATGATAATAATAATGATAGTAATAATAATAATAATAATAATAATGATAATAACAAGTAGTAGCAGTAGCAGTTATAATAATAATGATGAGAATGATAATAATGATAGTAATAATAATAACAATAACAGTAATGATAAATAATAATGATGATAATGATATTAACAGTAATGATAATAATAATGATATTAATAGTAATAATAGTAATGACAATAATGATAATAATAATAATAATAATAATGATAATAATAATGATAATAATAATTATAATAATAATAATAATAATAATAATAATAATGATAATAATAATGATAATAATAATAATAATAGTAATAATAATAATAATAATGATAATGATAATAATAACAATGATAACAATAATAATAATAACGATAATAATAATAAAATAACGATAATAATAATAATGATAATGATGATAATAATAATAATAATAATGATAGTAATAATAATAATAATAATAATAATAATAATAATAATAATAATGATAATAATAATGATAATAATGATAATAATAATAACAATAATAACAATGATAATAATGATAATAATAATAATAATAATAATAATAATAATAATAATAGTGATAATGATAACAATAATGATAACAATGATAATAACGATGATGATGACGATGATGATGATAATAATAATAATAAAAATGATGATGATGATGATGATGATGATGATGATGATGATAATGATAATAATAATAATAATAATAATAATAATGATAATAATAATGATAATAATAACAATAACAATAATGAGGATAATATTAGTAGCAATAATAATAATGATGATAATATTAGTAGTAGTAACAATAATAATAATAATATTGATAATGATAATGATAATGAAAAAATATATTACTAATGCTACTACTAAGCATAATGATAATGATAAAAAGTAATAGTAGTATTAATAATAATGATAACATTAATGATGTAACGATAGTAACATACTGATAGTAATAAAATTATCTGTATTTTATAACATTAATGAAGATAACATTTCTAATGATAATGATAACAACAACAACAATAATAATAATAATGATAATAATAATAATAACAATAATAATAATGATAATACTAATACTAATACTAATAATAATGATAGTAATAATAATAACAATAATAATAATGATAATACTAATACTAATAATAATAATAACAATAACAACAATAATAATGATAATAATAATAATAATAATAATAATAATAATAATAATAATCATGATAATAACAATAGCAATAATAACAATAACAATAACAATAATAATCATGATAATGATAACAATGCAATAGCAATGATGATAGTACAGATGGAAATTCTAATAACAAAAAATGATCTATAAGAATAATAACAGCAGCCAAATAGTAGTGAAAACGAAATCATATACTAATAATGATAATCATGATGATAATGATCATGGTAATTAAGACCACAACCAGAACATTAATCATAAAGTGATAATAATATCAATTGTGATGATAATAATAGTGGAGATGGCAATAATAGCAATAATGACCATGAAACTTAAGATATAATGATAATAGAACATTTTCTAGTAACTGCAATCGTGTGATGACAGATCAGTTTAACAGTCGTTATGTAACTGTAGCGAGTAGTAATAATTACAGATATTTTTTTTTGACACCCCAGGTGTAAAAGCTGTTTTCTTTTATCTCTGCACAGCCGTTGCAAGATCATATGCAATTCAGGACACAAACTTAAAGGAGGCAAGTCCAAGATCTACATCACGTGCAATCAAGACACGGGTCAGTTTACTTACTCCGGCAGACCTTGGCGTCAGTCCGCTCCGAACTGTATCCGTAAGTGCGTGTGTCCATTTCTTTCCCCATCCTTTGTTTCTCAGTAAAAGGAAGGACTATATTGAGCAACGAATCTGTGCATGTGCACGAGGACAAAATACTTGTTTCACGAAGACACATTACAAAATGAGATTTTGCGTTTCTGCCTTTCAGCTCACTGCAAAAAAGGGTGCCAGAATGGTGGTACTTGCGTAGCTCCGAACCAGTGCCTGTGTAGCCCTGCCTACAGGGGCAAGAACTGCAATGTGAGAGAGTGTCCTGAGCCTTCATTCCCGGACGCACAGGCTAGCTTTACCCGCACTGACGACGATGAACTCCTAGTGAAGTGCCACGAAGGATACGTTCTTCCCCCGGGGACGGCGCCTGGAGGAGT